TAAAATAAACTACTACTTACTACTTGTACTACTATTTCTATTTTGTGGTTTTTCACTTATCGCAGGTCTTCAGGGTTCGGATCCCCTGCGATAAACGAGGGACTACTATATATAATATTATACATTACTGTATAAAAAAAAAAATTGGTACAGGACACATGGTTGTCAGCTTTAATATTACTCACATGATTGGGGCAGTACTGAATACAATACTGTACAGTAAAAAGTTAACAAAAAAACAAAATACTTGGAACAGGTGCCGCCATTTTGTAGTTTTCTCTCCATAAGTCTACACTGTATTCCCGCTAATAACTACTACATTTTCCAGAAAGCAACAGGGCCCCACCCAGAAGCCCTGTTGTCTTCTACTGAAATACTAGAGGGAACATTTTGATCTGATCTGAAAGAGTTTGGTGCTTATTACAGTGACTTTGGTGCCCAGCGGATGCAACGAGCCACACGGAAGACGGAACCCACCGAACCGGACCTCCAGACCCATCGGTGAATCTTGAGAACTCCTAGCCTAGCTGGCCCACAAGGACTTCCAAGCAGGGACATGCACTGCTGAAGGTTCAGCGCTCCATCTGACTTTTCCAGTGACTTTTTTTTTTTTTTCAACCGGCCCACGTGGACCGACGCGCTGGTAACTAAAATTTAGTAGCTACATACACCGATAAGTATATTGTTAAAATTAGTGGATTTAAGAGTTTAGAACATTGATTGTGAGCTTCGTCGCTGCAGGGTAGTCTGCAGAAATGGAACAGAGTTGGACCGGAACCGAGAGCTGTAGATGTTCTGCAGAACTGTTGAATAAAATTTAGTAGCTACATATACAGTAATATACGTATGTTGTTAAAATGACATAGGTTTAAGAGTTTAGAACATTGCAAGAGTGTGGGTTTTCTAAAGCCTTAAATTATATATAAATAATAAAATGAATATAACATCGCTACTTAGAGGATTTTCACTTATTACAGGAGGGTTGGGAACCTAACATCCGCAATAAACGAGGGACCAACGTATTGCAGTTTTCAGTGTCAAACAGCAACTTGTATTTATTTACCTGAAGGTTTTGATGCTTCCACTTTCTTCTTTGTGACTTTCCCAGTTCTTTTAGGATCCTCAGATGTTCCCTGAAATATGTGCTGCTTGTAGCAATCCTCTGCTGAGCGTGTTCCCACCACCTGTGCCACCTTTGCCCAGTAGCCTGTTAAGTGCTTTGGATAGTAGGATACAGCGCTGAAATAAAGACGCACACAAATAAACAATTAAGACTGTGAATGTAGTTAAAACTCGAACAAGTTAAACAAATTGTGGACGAAGTGTCCTACACCTTTCCTCTTAATGTTGTCTCAGTTCTTGTTAAACATATAAAACAGATCATCTGTTGTTATTCTAAGGAACCATTTAAATATTTAGCTAATTTTCGTCCCGTAAGAGCTAAACTTACTCTTGAAGCTTCATGAGTTCCCCCTCGGTCCATTCGTCTTCATCTGTTTTGACAGAGCTCTCTTTGTTTGGAGGGCGTTTCTTGCCGAGCGGTGATGTTTTAGTGACTCTCGCTTCTTTGTCGCTCTTCTTTGCTCTTCTCTCTCCCTTTCTATTATATTTCCAGTTATCCTTAGAGGACCCTGATGGTTTCTTTCTCCTCTTAGGAATCTCATCGTTGGATGGCAAATGGTTTGATGTTTTATCAGCAACAATAGATTCAGAATCATTTACAACAGTCCGTTTACTGCTTCTCAGCAACGGCCCGTTGGTGTCGTTTGTCTGCTTTGGAGACCTCTGTGTTGAAAACTTTTCAGATTCACTTTGTTTTTCTGGAACAGTACAAGTTCTTTCCATCGCTGGGTGTGGGCGCCTTTGATTGGATCTTGTTGTTCTACCAAAACACTGTTCAGGGACCTTAAACGCCTCACTGGTGGATTCAGGTAAATCAGCAGGCTTCTTAGTTGTGTTTCGAATACTCTGCGCTCTCGACTTCCTCACTGGTATCGACGCCTCTTCGTCTTTGGCTGATTCACTTTGCTTCAAACCTGGGAGCACGAAAAGAAGCCTGTCGTGAAACTTACACATTATCTTACTGCCAAAAAACACTTCTCTCAACTACTTTACCCTCGCTGCTGGGCAGGAACCGTTGCTTCGTCGATGACGTTGGAGATACTATCGTAGAGACCTCCTGTGAGGAAAATAAAAGTATTTAATGTGTGTGGTCACTCACAAAACACCTTGGCATTACATTTGAAGAGGCTGCAGCTTTGGGTGCTTACAGACTGACTACCGTCATAAGACTCATGGATGGTAACGTTCATGTGTGCATCGAGAATGACCCTCGCTCCTTTCCAATACTCCAGAGGTGGTTTGATCGTTCGACCACTTCGAGTCACTTGCGTGGAAGAGGAGGAGGAGGCAGGAGAACAGGAAGCAGCTGGATAAGTGAGGAAAAGATGGCAGGATTTATTAAACAGCTGACATATATAACAACAAGTTTGGTAAATATCTTGTGCTTACGTGTCTTTGAGGATTTTTGTGTCTTTCTCTTTACAGACTGGTTGATGGAGGCCTCAGCCTTCTTTTTGTTGTAGTTCTTTGTGTCAGTACTGGAACACATAAATGTAGTTCTCTAAACTGATTAAAAAATAACACCGAAGCAATAATTATCTGTGAAATATTCTTACTTTTTGGACTCCAACAGAAACTTCTCAAAAAGAATGTTCCAGTTTGGAGGGAAACCACAAACAAACTTTTTCACAAAACTTCTTGGAAAATCTGAAGGCAAACCGTGAGAGGAAACAACATTATTATTTAATCTAACAAGGTTGAGTCAGGTCCTCTGGGCGGATTCTTCTTTTCTGAAACATTTCATCTTTTATCCAAAAGACTTTTTCTCAGTCTGAGGAGCTGCAACAAACTTATAAACAGCACCTTCTCATAGTGGATCAACCAGTTTGTTGTTAACATCCAGAACTAGATGTTCACACGTGAAAGGAGGACCATCAGTCTGACGACCGATTGTTACTGCCCTGATGGCTGCTTGCTTTGTTTTTTAGTATGTTAATAGTATTTATATTTTTGGATGCTAGTAGTTTTTTTTATAGTATGTTAGTGTATTTTTAATGTATTTTTTAGTATGTTAGTAGTATTTTTTAATACCTTAGTAGTATTTTTTTTGTATGTTAGTAGTTTATTTTTTTAGTATGTTAGTAGTATTTTTAATGTTTTTTTAGTATGTTA